AGTGCGACTGCGAGTCGAAGGATGGAGACTGGGCCAGCGGTGGCAGCGAGCCGGGCAGAAGGAGCGAACTTCGTCAGCCAGGAAATCTGTAGTATTGGGTGGGAATTGTGCAAGAGGGTTGACGCGGTATCTGCCAGGGTGGCCCGGGGGCCTGGTATGAATTGAAGCAAACGGCTGGCGCGTTTCAAGCGCATGGTGTTCCTGGCTAACTCAACCACACTGCGGTGGTACTGGAAATAAAGACGGTAGGCATCAACATCTGTGAACAGGTGGTGGTCTGGTACGGGACCGTCAATCATGGGATGGTTGAGAATCGGAGTGACAACGGTTGCTAGACTGTCGAGGAGCGTTTGCATGAGAAGAGTCTCTGGCTGATGTGTGATTGAAGGGGCCAAGTGTGGAGGGGGATTGCCTGGGAGGAAGTAGGTCATGTTGGCTGGATCTTGCTCCGTAGAAGGCGGCGGCAAGGCGCTGGTCGGCGGGGAGTCTGCTGAAGCCATGAAGGAGTAGGGCAAAGAGTGTGATCTGTGCAACCAAAGCAAATCGGAATCTGGAAATGGCTGCGGAAGCATGAAGTGATGTCGATGAGGTGAGGTGATCAACTGTCATGATGTGGTGATTTCGACTGCAAATGATACGCAAGAGGTGATTTTGCGGTGCAAGGAAACTGAAATTGTTTGCCAAGAGCGCGCCGAACGGAGCTGGGTGAAACATGCGACTATACAAAATAGCTGCCAATAGCATCAGCTGCGGGTTCCGGATGACTGTCCTCACTAGTGGCTGGGCACATAGCGTCTGTGCCAGCGGCGGCTGCTGGTGGGAGAGATGGAGGTGTTGTGGGAGTGTAGGAGAAATCTGGCGCTGAGTGTAGTGGCTGAGGTGGAGTTGCTGCTGTAGGAGAAGGAGGAGGGAGGACTGGGTCGATGGGTGAGAGCGGTGGTGGTGTGTTGGCAGGCGAAGTCGGTGTCGGGGAGTGTGGCGAAGGAGGTGGGATGGTGGCTGTAAGAATGCGTTGAGCTTCCTAAAGTTCCTCCCAGCGTGCTTTGCACTGTTCTATAGAGAAACCTACGCGACGAGCAACGTAGTTCCAATTCGGTCGAAGGGGGGCATCTGTCTTGAGTTCAACTAGGCGAATGTCTGCTTCGCCATCCCAGGCATCCCAGTCTGCGTCCTGGTTCAAGGGTGGTGGAGGTTCACGCTTCTTCTTGGGTGGTGGCGGTGGTGGGGGAGTGGATGTAGAGGATTCTTGAGATGCTGTGGGCTGCGGTGGTGCACGCTGAACGGGAGCAATGGGGGCTGAGTCGCAAGAGGAGGTAGGTGAGAGAATCGGAACTGCCGTGGAAGGAGGTGGAGGGAGAGGTGGGAAGGAACGTTGAAAGTGTGGGTCGACTTGTCCTGTATGAAGCAGGTAGAAGCTGTGAAGGTTGGCTAGAATGTCGGTTGCTTGTTGAAGGAGGCGATGGAGCTGTGTAAGCGCAATGGTAGTACGATGGAGCAATCGAGCTTGGTCCGCGCTGTGATGCATCTTGAGTGAAAGCTTCAATGATCAATCTGCTAGGACGGCAGCTTGGCAGCGCAGCGCAGGCGGCATCACTTCATGAGCGGAGGGTGCATGCGGACGGGCCGTGCAGTTGAATTATCAGAACGAATTATCGAGCACGAATTTCGCAGCGCGAACAAGGTCAAAGAAAAGAAAGGCAGTAGGAAGCAAAATCGTTCACACAATCACAAAACCTCAAAACTTCAAAGTCACTAAAACTTCCGCATGTGGTAAAACCGAAGCATAAACACTGGAAAATCACAATCCCTCAAACCAATCGGAGAAAGCAAACTGTCGAGGGTGTATTAGTCAAAATCACAAAAGTCAACTACATGATCGGACTCACAATGGAAGTTGCGAAAAACTGTGGAAAAACCAAGCGTGCGCACACAGCCGATGAAAACGAGTGCTCAATGCTCCTGTTTTGGCGGAGCCAGAGGTTTGTGGTAGGGTGTGAAACTAATCAGAAAAGCTCTCAATGAAGGCGGGTTGGTGATGGTGGCGCAGTGGATGTTGGGTGGTGGAAGTGGCTCACGTGTCTGGTGGTGTTGAGTTGATGGACCATGCCAGGCCCTTGATGATAGCGTTATTGGGGTGGATGACCCAGCAGCGCGCTTTGGCGTGACAGGCTGCGCCATGTTGTTGCTGTAAAAGCTCTTCGCCACCACTGGGCGTTTTTTGGGAGTTTCCATGTGTTGTGTAGTATACGGGCTTGTTCGTAGTTGTCATGGAGTGGCTGGTGAGTAATGCGTATGCCTTGGGCAAAGAAACCCGGGTTGTCGGCAAAGTGGAGTGTACTGGGCAAGAGACGGCCCTGCCGCAGAATGGTGGTGATGTTGCCTAGGGGGCCGGTATGGCCGGCGTTGATGTGGACCATTTCAGGGGTGGTGGAGGTGGCGCGGGTGGCAGGCGGTGGAATCTGACGAGTGGCTTTCTCGACCAGACTAGGGATGTTGATGCAGTGGTATGGAAAAATGTCATATGCATTGGTGGTGTCGTTCCATTTGATATGTGTGAGTTGGCGGAAGTCTGACAAATCGTTGTAGGTAAATCCGCTGTCAACAAGGAGTTGGGCAACGTAGGCATGTTGAGGTTTATTTTCCGCTGCCAGTTGTTCGGCGTGGAAATCGAGCCAATGTTCGATCTGCTGTTGCTATGAGAGTTGGAGGAAGTGAGGTGAAGGTGGCCGCCACGGTGGAGATGGGCGGCGAAGTGCTGGAATGTTGGGGAATTCAGCTTGGGACATGTTTGTGATTTGGCCGCGGAGCGGATCATGCCGCGCTGTCTCCTGGTTGGGCCGCAAGGTAATAGGCGCATGGGAGCGGCTGCGTGAACGGCTGTGGGAAATTGTGGAGTATGTGGAGGAGGGAGAACGGCGGCGCCTGTAGCTGACGCAGGATTGTGTGGTGGTGGCGGGTGTGTGGCTGTGATCCTGCTGTCGGCTGTGGTGCCTGCTGAGCATGTGGAAACAGTGCTGCTGGTGGCGATGGTGGTGGAGGTTGCGATGATGGTGAATGGGAAGTGTTGGATGGAGGTTGTATTGGTATTGGTTCCATTGCTGGCATCTGATGTGACACAGGGTAGGCGTGATGAGGTGGCATGAAAGCCGGTGTAGGTTGGACGTGTGGTTGTAGAGGGTGTGGCCCACGTAGGGGGCCGGCAGGTGTGGTGAAGTGGCCGGACAGTGTGACAAGAAAGTAGGTGGAAGCTGGTGGAACGGAGCTGGCTGTAGAGGTGCTGTTGATGGGTGGTGCTGCCACGGTGGTGAATGAAGACCAGCTGTCGGCGCCGTGGGCACAGGACAGTGAGTTGGCCACTGCGGGTACGGCCAAGGATACTGCGTGTGAGTGGTCAATCCGACAAAGTTGGAGGCTGCACTAGATGGCGCCGGCGCGGCGCAGCAGCTAAGAATTAAAAGGTTGAAAAGTTGAACGCTGAGACTGATGCTTGAGATCTAGTGAACAGTCAGTGATGGAGAGGTGAGGTGAACGTGTGGCGTGAGATGCAATGCAAAGTCTCGAAATACGTGTGGAAGTTGAACAAATGGCTGCGGATTAAAAATTGGGAACATGCAGTAACGACACATGACGGTGCAAGTGGATTCAGTCTGTCAGAAAGGAATTCCATCGTTTATAGCCCGGCGGCTCGAAACTCCGTTAATTCAGTTATGGAAGTGAGAAACAAAAAATCAGTTATAAGAAAGAAAAACCGATGCTTTCCGGAATGATAACAGCGCCTCCTTTCGGAGGGTCACACCCAGCGCCCAAGTGGGACGACTGAGCGGTTCACACTCTGACATTGGTTTTCGGTTAACTCAATTGCCACAATGAGAAGGATGGCGACGGAACAGTAGGGTGAAAGGTCCAAGAAACTGTAGGTGTTTTAACAAAGGCTGTTTCCCTTGACTGCAGAACTCAGCGGTGGTGAACGAACGGCGCAACTCAGCTGCAAATCCGAGGTTTGGGGGTGGAAACATGAAGAACCATGAAACAAACCGTGGAGAAGTAGGGTGACAGCTTGTGGACAACTCAGCAGGTACACACCGAGACGTCTCTCAGTGCTTCCCCTCCAGCGACTTAGCTTCGTTGGACAAGGTTCATCGCTGGAGGCCTTGCCCCCCTGCTTATATGAATCGCTGGGAAAATCCGTTGCAAAACCCTTAGAAACAGGGTGTGACACACACACACACAGGATCTTTCCAGTGTTGAGTGTGAAGTCCAACAAGTGCTAGGAAACTCCTCCTCAAGTTGATGAATGATGTGGAGGCACTGCGGCCAGCCATGCTTGGAGTTCATGCAACAGCAAGAAAGGATGACATTGTGGCGCTGGAGAATAACAGGCAGATTAAGAGGTCAATCGCATGCTTGCTTGGGCCAGGTGCAGGTGGTGGGCAGCGCGGTCATGGCTTTTCGTCAGATCTGCATCGTGTTACCAAAGGCTTGCCAAGAGACGCCTTTGACATGTGCTTGAAGCTTGTTTCTTTCGCTAATTGCAAATCAATTGCACCGTTTGAGATGATGTCACCAGTTAGTAAAGGGAGACTTGAAGCAACTGGTGCAGTTAAGGAATGTGCGTTGACCACAAGCTGCTGTGAACCTTTCAAACCTATCATCTTGATCCAGGATGCAGCTGAAGATGCCAAGCCAGGCTGAAGATGAACGATCTCATCTCACCGTGAACGCTGTTGCGGCACTGTTGCGTTCATGAGATTCATGTCGTTTGGGAATTAAGACCAGAATGTGTTGCTGAGTATTACTGTAGTGTTTTGGTCGGAAGTTTGGATGAATGGTCGGTTTTTTCAAAGTTCTTTCCGTCGTGAATACTTGAGTTGATCTCTTCAGTCAGAGGCGGCTGTGCAGACCCTGTTTGGCATGAACTGCTCTCAGCTGTATTGTGACTACAGGGTTTGATCATGAATGAATTTATGTTTGTGACTCTTCTGGCATTTGTGCGGCGATAGATGGGTCTTTGGAAGATCCTTGAGCACAGCGCAGAGAGCTTCAACGTATCCTGGTGCCCGCCAAGGCTAAACAATTAGAGCTCCTCCATCCACTCTTCAAGCGTTTTGTGCAGGTGAGAATCCAGCAAGAGCTAAGACATGCTGAGCATCCATGTATACTAGGATACTTGGTTGGCTCACAGTTCACCCTGAACCAGGACATGTTGCTCATGGATTTCTGGGCGTCATTCAGCTCAGAAAGGGTTTGTCCGCACTTTCAGTGTTGGTTCAAGTCCGGACTCCAAACGCTCCTTGGGCCCTGGAGATGCCTAATTGATGCCCACATTCTACGTATCGTATATATAATTGTATATATAATATATATTACATACATACAGTGAATATTACAATTACATATTATTACTATTATATACTATTATACTATTATGCAGCAGTTCAGTCTGATGCGGGGCAATGTGTCGGCTCCAAGTTGTGAGCAAGCGCTCCAAGGCAGCAATGCTGCATTGACCTTCTCATGAGGTGCCGGGGGATATGTTTGAGAAAAAGCACCACACATTGCTTTTACAACTAGCACAGCATTTTTCGGCTTTCAGGGTCAGATAGGTGACATCCTTGCAGTCTTTGTGGAGAGAAACAACAAGTGTCAGCGCTATCCCGGATGAGCGTGTTGTGGCAAGGGCGCGAACCAGGAACCACGTGGAACCCCTTTATCCACAGCATCCAAAGGGAATGTTTGCTTCGACTCAAGCACGTCCTTTCGTCTTCGATCTTTTCCTCACAGACTCCTAACTTCCAAGACATGTTCCAGACAGTTAGCAGTTAGCTTTGAACAAAGCATTTGGAACAGCGGTCGAAATGGGAGGTTCAAGGTGTTCAGCTGGAAGGTACTGCCGCTTGTTCTTTGCAAGCCCCGGCAAGACAGAGGACCTACCACTATCATTCTGCTCATGACATGTGCGTGTGTGACTCATTGTTGGTTTGAAAGGGCAGGGTGGAGTGGTGGATATGACACGGCCCAACGTTGACGTTTGTAGAGGAAAACGCCGAAGCCAAAGGCAAGGAGCTTGTGCACATCGTGTGTCGTGTCAAACTATGTAGCTAGGCTATGCATACATCTTCGAGCCAGTCGGCCAGTGGCAGAGCCATCGACATTTTAGGTTTTACTTCAGATTACTTCTGCAGTACAACTGAGGGGGGAGCGCTGTTTTGGCTCCAGCACCAATCAGAAAAATGAAGCTCACATATGCGGCATGTGCGGACTAGTCTTCAAAGCATGTTTGTTGACTTGAAAGCTTCCCTGACGAATCTAGCTGGTACATCGGAGATTTCTTTCCAAGCCTTCGGGGCATGTACGAAGCTGTGCATCAAGCACAAGCACAGTCCAAGTCCTTCTTGGGGAAGTGGAGTGACTTGGATGGCAGAGTGGTGACTTGGATGACACTGTGTGTCATAGCTTGCACTCCAAGTACCATAGCTTGGCCAAAGTGCCGACCAATTGTTCCACATTGTGCTGACAAATGCTTCCACGCTCCACTGTTCTGGGCAGAGTTCGATCTTTGCTAGCCAACTTAGACTTAGGCTATGCTGTTCCATTTGTATTCTTTGTGGGGTTCGTCATCATCGAGGCTGGCGAAACAGTTGAAACTGGCTTTGGAGTTTCAAGTTTCTTTCGATACTGTTTTGATCTGTCTTGCTATCGACTCGGCTACCACATACGGTTCCTGAATCGTTCCATGGTAGGTTGTGGTTCTGAAACTCTCTGGTCACTGGGTCGCTTGCCTGCAAGACTTCAGCTTCATTGAACTTCTAGAGTATATAGTATATAGGGAATAAGTATTAGGACGCTACTAGGTGGAGGCCATCGCAAGTAGGTTGGAGGCCATCGCCACTAGTGGCAAGAAGCTAGTGATAAGAAGAGCAGATGGCCTCCAACCTACTTGCCATGACCTCCACCTAATAGTGTCCTACTACACGTCGACGGTATTTCAGACATGATTCCGACATGACGGCGCGGGAAACTGGTCTTGGAGTGTGGCTGGCGTTGCTGCTGTCATGGCATGTCCCAAGCTGTTGTACCAGAGGGAACTTTGGGAGGGAGCTTAAATATGCTAGTGCAGTCGTAGACATGGCCCTCAAGGCTTCATTCACAAGACTGGTTCACAAACCTTTGAGGGGAATGACTACGTCACATCGTCACATATCCACACATGTCCTGGCCCACCATGACCCACCCCAGGACGCTGTGGCAGCAGAGCTTGTGGTTTGCCTCGCCGGACTTCTCGCGCCACTCAGATTAACTCAGATTCGGGCGTTCTTTTAGTCGACGTAAAAACTCGCTGTTTCTACAAACTCCATCCTTGACGTTCAAGACAACCACCGACCAGAAGGAAGGGCATGGAAGGGCAATTTGGGCAAGTGGAGTTTGTTTGTTTGGATTTGCTATTCATTCGTTCAAGCGCCGCATGCCATGCCGAGGCTGATTTTCATTTTTGGTGCATTCTTCTTGGCCCTCTTTAACAGGCTGGTCTTGCTCTTCATGTAAGAAAAGATGTTAATCGTACGTAGCTCACCAGGTTGGAAAACCTTTTCCGTGACCTGACCCTGATGCACCTATGGACTCGTGAGAGTGAGGCACACGAGCCTCGGAATCAGAGGATGAAAGGCATTGAACGGCCATGCGGAAGTTGGGAAAAGTGTTAAAAACCTGCCTCGCCAAGAACAAGGGCCTCCCGACCGGAAAAGTTTACTTTTTCTCGCATCGATGACCTCAGCGACCTGGGCGGGCCTTGATTAGTAATCCCTATGGTTCCTCATGCCATCGCATGCCCTGGCGCGGGCCAGCGCATTTGGAGTGTCAGGACAGATCATGCATGTCGGGTCGCGCCAGGATCCAAGCCCCAAGCCCCAGTGAATTTGGCCTTGATTCCAGTTGCGTTCCGAAAGCTGTTGGGCCCCGACTTAAGCCAGCTGCCTGGTGCTGCCTGCTTGATTCAGGATGTGGAGAACAAACATTTTCAAATATCGTTGCAGCTCCAGAATCGATCAGAGATCACTGAGCGCATGACGTGCACTCAGCTGATGAACATGCAGCTTAACACGTAGAGCACAATGTGGCCAAGCAAAATGAGCTCAAGTTGGTAATGTCAAAGCGTCAAAGAACATCCTGGCAGCAATGAGGAAACATTACTACCCGCTGGCCCTTGTGATTTTGCTCATTGCCATTGAGGTTGTGCCTTGTCTTGGATACCAGTAAGGAGAGTAGCTGAGTGGCTGCACGTTCCAGCTCAAGAAAGCATAAGAAAGCACTGAACCGAGTGATAGTGCGTTCTGCAGCTCATTCCCAACTACGCAGACACTGGCCGTGTCGTCTTGCCAACGCTGTCGCTGATGAGGTTTTTCTGGAAGCGAATGGATACATGCATTTAGTTAGGGCGGCCAGCTCAGATGGAGCGTTTTCCACTGATGTGGTAGCGCAAGTTTTGACATTGACATTTCAACATAGCATTTCTTGGACAAGTTCCCTTCCAAATCTTCCAAGCCCTTGGTCAAAGACATTTGCTCACCCTTGTTCAGCCGCCAAGCGGCTCTTTTTGCTAAGTTGCTATAAGTTGCTTTTCAATGCTTCTCAAGTTGCTTCTCATAGCGTTTCATGCCTCTATTCCGTTGAGTTTCCCATTCTATTGGCCTTTTGTTGAAAGGACGCATGCCAGGCATTTGCTCTCTTGCTAGTCGCAATGGATCGCATCAGAGCGAGACTGTTTCGAGGAGAAGCTCGCAAAGTATGCTTTTTTTGGTGCCACCTTCTTGGTGTGGTTCTTAGCTTGGCGGGTCTATATACTTGATTGTTCCTGGTGATTCGCCATCGACGTGCTTCTTGAGGCCTTCTCGACGTGCTTATTTTTCGCCGCATTCATGCGGATTGAGGGCCTTTGGGATGACTTACGTGAGATTGGAGAGCAGAACCTTCGAAGCAAGAGATTGGAGTTTTCTCGAAGTTGTTGGAGTCTTTTCTGGTGTGTTACTTGATGTTATTTGAAGTTATTTGTAGTTTTTCTATTTTTCTATGGCAACAGCCAGAGATATTCGCTTTTGATCCAAATGCACGCTGCCGCTGTTGGTCCATGTTGGTCCGCAACAAGCTTTCTTCGACCCCTTCGTGTGGCACTCCACTCCGTTCAATGCCGAGGAGTCTGAAGGAAGTCGAGCAGCTGGTAGCCAAAATGCAGAAGAAGTTGAAGGACGAAGCTGGAATTGAATTACATATTGACTTGCAATTAGTAGGTTGATTCTTCTTCCTTTCTTTCAGAAATACTTGAAGGCTTGGAAACTGTTAAAGTGATTGGAAGTGGAGTCCAAAGACACTCCCTATGAACACGCGGCATGGTCACCGGACTCCGGACCCCTCAGCATGCAATGAAGTTGGCAACCACGTATTGTGCTTTTGCATGCATATCCAGAAGATAAAGAGGGCATTATATATTTAGAGAGATGCATGTCTGCAAGTTTGTGCAGTCTTTGGTTCAGCTGTTCTCCGCCCGAGTTACTTAAACACCTGGTTATCCCCTGAACAGTCATTTGCAGTTCTTCTCGATATGTGTGGATGAATCCTGTTTGTTGGCTTCAGACCACGTTTGCCTCGTTTGCAGGCCAATCTTGCAGAATGCAAAAAGGGATGCCGCGAATCCGCCTGTTTCTGACGGCGGCCTCCGCGCAATCCGGTGCTTCGAAGATCGGAGCAGCCCACGAGATGGCAGCCATTTGAGCACTACCTCATGAGCTCTTGGGCTTTGTTGGTTTCATCATAGTTTCATCCATAATTGGCCAAGGCAAAGGTTCCTTAGCCGCAAATAAGCCAGCCCAAGATATGCATGTGGCCATACAAGAGCCAGCCCCTCGCCGAAAAGGTCAGTGAGTTCTGGGGCTGCGGACTTCAGACATCACCGGGCTAGCCAGATGTGTGCGATATGGTAAGCTGATGTGTCGAGTGTGCAGTGGCAATCATGTACTTGAGAACCGTGTAGCAGTTTATGTTTTTACTCGGTACCGGCCTGCACAAGATCAGAGATTTCCTCACGGTTTGAGAGCAAGACCCCACTCAAAAGCTCACAACTAGACCACTAGCGGGGGGTGTAGATCAATATGGTCCGTTCCAAGTAGACAATATCAGTAACATCAGGGTAGGATGTTCATTTTAGACAATTGTGATGCTTCCACTCGCCTCTCTAGCGGAAGGTGCCGAGCCATCCGAGGACGACATCGATACGGCAGGGTTGGCCGGCGGTAGAAAAAGTGGTGGTTGGCTCCACAAAGAGGGGAGAAAAAGGTATGGAACATGATTGAAAAGGTGCAGGACATGAAGTTTCAGCACATCCATTCATTATAGAATCAGTTGAACGATGTTGAACCTGTCGAGCCTGTCATGTAGCGAGAGATGCATGTATTTTTCAATTTGGGCAGGACTTTCTTGCCTTCTTAAAGAATCTGAAGTTGTTGCTCTTCTCAGCCAGCAAAGGTGGGCGATGGATCCTGATGTGTCTGATGTATCCTGATGTGGCTGTGGGTCAAACCATTAACCCCCCAAAATCATGGACACCCGCTCCCCAAAGTCTGCGAAAGCAAAGGTGCACGTTGCATCTTGGGCAGGACGACCTGCCTCAGCAACTACGATTCAGAAACCAAAAGAGCCGATCCAGAAACCAAAACAGCCGATTCAGAAACCAAAACGGCCGATTCAGAAACCAAGTTAGACTGTTCAGAAACTAAGCCAGACGATGGTTGGAATGGGGGGTGGGGGGGGGGCAGGAACTATTGCCAAGATAATAGCGTTCCATGTGGATGTAAAGGGCTTTTTACATTCAGTCAAGTAAGAAGTAGTGGTGGACGGCAGGAGGAGTGTGGGGTGGGGGGGTGGGGGGGGAACCATGGCCAAGATAATAACGTCCCATGTGGATACAAATGGATTTTACACTCATTCATATATGAATTAACTTGGGCCAACAGCATCTGGCTGAACAGAGTGGCAGGTAGGAGCAGTGTGGGGTGGTGGGGGGTGGGGGGGATCATGGCCAAGATAATAACGTTCCATGTGGATGCAAAGGGCCTTTACGTTTATTCAAGTAAGAATTAGTTTGTCAACTTCATATATGGTTGAACAGAGTGGAGGGTAAGAGGAGTGTGGGGTGGGGGGAATCATGGCCAAAATAATAACGCTCCATGTTGATGCAAAGGGCCTTTACATTCATTCAAGTAAGAATTAGTTAGTCAACTTCATATGGCTGAACAGAGTGGAGGGTAGGAGGAGTGTGGGGTGGGGGGGGGAATGATGGCCAAGATAAAAACATTCCATGTGACATTCATTCAAGTAAGAATTACTGGGGGGCAGGGGGGGGGGGTGGGGGGGGGGGGGGGGGGGGGGGAATCATGGCCAAGAATAACGTTTCTTCTGTTGCTTCGCGGAGAGATTTTGCATCGGTGGCACCACCACCACCAACTACTACTACTACTACTACTACCACTACCACTACTACTACTACTACCACTACCACTACCACCACCACCACCACCACCACGACCACTACCACTACCACTACCACTACCACTACGACGACGACGACTACTACTACGACTACGACTACGACGACTACTACTACTACTACTACTACTACTATATACTACTACAATATACTACTACTATATACTACTACTATATACTACTACTATTTACCACTACTATATACTACTACTACCACTACTACTACTACTACTACTACTACCACTACCACTACTACTACTACTACC